CGTTGCTCCTGAGCTGCTGGAAGCATTATATTTACTGCTGGCAAATAGAAGAAGTGGTTGATCTGAGGAAATCCTACCAGTGGCTGGACAAAGCTGAAAGACAACACAGAGGCACTAATCATAGCAGCACAAGAACAAGCTCAAAGAACACGATCTATAGAGCCTGAGGTCTACCACACCAGGCAAAGATGGCCCCGAGACAATCCAGCACATAATGGCAAGACACAAGATGCTAGCAGGCAGGTTATAGAATGAACACCATAACCAAGTGGCCGGCATAATATACAGGGACATCTGTGCCGAGTATGGCCTGCAAGTCCAAGCGCAAAATGTCCCCCTAGGGTGGTGGAGAATGACCAAGCTAAGATCCTGTGGTACTTCCAGATACAGGCGGACAAACTGGTGATGGCTAACCAACATCATAGTGATAGAAATACCAAGTGACAGCAACTCTAGTGATTCATTTGACATTGATATTGGAATCCTTCCTAAGCATCGACTTTAATTGACATTTGTTACTTTTAAAGCAACTGTATTTCCCAAAAAAGTTGTCTGATGGTTGTGCTAACATTGCTATCACGGCCTCCAATGCAGAGATTCAGCGTGTTGAGAACTCGCATAAAATTGCATAAACAGGGCAGTCGTCAGCCTCCTAAAATGCTTGTGACGAAGTGGTAGGCTTGAACTTATCTGCCACTTGTCCCTTAAACATATTGATAATTTATCCCATGTTATTTTACAGTTGGCCATAATGCTTTAGTTTAGGCACTGTTGGTGTAACTTTGCTCTACATACCATCCTGGGTTTGTTTGTGGCAGCACAGTTTACATCCATGCATATGCTCTTAGAGCTAATACTACTCAACCTTCAGGTGATTTAAATGTTCTTGTGTTGACAGGTAAATGTCTGGTAAATTATGTTTGCTTATGTTGCTTTGTTTATACTTACCTTTGGTTGTCCCTTTGTTCTGGTCATATACTCAAAACAGGTGTGTGGGAGGGGCTGACCCATCACTTCCTGTTTATATAGGGTCACCATATCATTGACTGCCTCACTGGGTGCAACCAAACGAAGGGTTTTTCCTTTTGTATAGTATTGTTTGTTTTTTAAGTAGCCTTTGAGTTTATGCAGTGTTGTACCTTTCAGACCATTTAGCTGTGTGAATGGGTTTGTCAATGGGGTGAATAATCTTGTTCCTGTTTCTTTGTTTAGGTTGCATTGTTTGGTCTAACCTATTTCTTAATGGTAGAGACTAATGAGGTTCAGGTGTGTGTAACACTGTATAAAACCAGTAAGATTTTGACAACTGGGGTTGTTGTAAGATGGCAGGATGGCGATGCCAGGAAATAAAGTACCAGTCTGCTGATGCCATCTACTTATCGCTTTCCTTACTTGCTCTAAACTGCCTCGCAATGTTCAAAATATACTTCATTTTACTCAAATCATTCATGAAACTCCACATCAGAGTAAAAATAAATACAGACCATGAAGAATGAATCTCCAGGCAGATTGTCAGCTGAGCTGATCTTCTTAGCTTGGACCAGATATTCAGACTTTATATTTTGTACTTTGGAAGGTGGACAAATGTCCTGTATATGCCATTCACTTGTTAAAACCATCCTGTAGTCTTTAAGCTTTGTATTGTTTAAACTATTTTAAGTTTGTATGTTTAGATTATATTTGAACTCAAACAGAGTTGAAAATGTTTTATTAATCGGTGCATTTTTCTTCGTAGCCGAGCAACATTTGATGATGATTTCTCTACTGCATCCAGTTATCAAATGTAGCTTTGTCTTGTATAAAAATGTGAGTCAAGAGTCAAATGGCTTTATTGTGATTTCAACGACATACAGTGGTACAGTACACAGCGAGAAAAGACGGCGTAAATCAACACAGGACGACAGAAAGTGCACGTGTGCAACCCCAGAAAGAACAGAACGATGTAGGCACACAACAGTGCAACAGGAAAGTGCAATAATGACAGTGGGTTGTGCAAAAAGACTGAGCATTGTGCAAAAGGTACTTGAGGTAATGAAATGTATGAAGGTACGTGTGTGTGTGTGTGTGTGTTCCTGTCTAGCTATCTTTGTGAGGACCGAAATCTGCATTCTACTATACTTGTGAGAACCAGCAGTCGCTTGTGAGGACACACAACCCGGTCCTCACATTTTTGAAGGCATTTGAAGGCATTTTTGAGGCTCAAAATGGGGTTTTAGTGTCAGGGTTACAATTAGGTTATGGTTAGGTTTAGGGTCAGGGGCTAGGGAAACCATTATGTCAATGAGGGTCCTCACTAAGATAGGTGAACGGGGTTGCGTGTGTGTGTGTGTCAGACCAGTGTCTGAGTGTTCAGGAGACTGACACCTGTTTTGTAGTCTGGCCCGAATGCTCTGGTACCTCTTGCCAGAAGGCAGCAGGCTGAAGCCTTAAATGGTTTAAGTCAAGTCAACTAATTGAGGTTAAGAGTCTGAAGAGAGTGTGAAAGTAAAAGTGGAAAAAAAGCTGGTTTAATATAATTACAAGAATTACAAACTGGAGCTCTGGAGTGACGCTGACTCTTCTCGCTGTGCTGTAAGGCCATCTGACTATATGCTTGAAGTGATCTACAGGAATTAAGGACAAACACTACTTCACTAGAAGCAAAAGCCTTGTGAAAGCTGTGATAAGTGTCAAACCAAGTCTTTTGTACAAACCACAGTTACACTGATCACTAACCAAAACCCACATGTCACTGAGTCTTAGTCTTAAAATGGTTAACAGATCATTTACAGTTGTATGAATCGTCCCTGTCAAGTTGTGATCAGACAGAATTCTGTCCAAGGTTTGAATATTCAGTCCTGCAAAAAGTTCATTTAAAACTATTAAGAACGTAGTAGAAGCACCTGTGGTATAAATGTGAAACCCCTCAGTAATTTTCATTACTTGACATCAAAGTACCTGAGATGAACCTGGTAATAATTTCACATTTCTGCATTGTCTCGTTCTCAAATGTTCACATTCACCAGATTTTCAGAAAACTTGACCTCTGATCTTTACCTTGAGGCTGCGCTAACTGAGATTCAAACTCATCCAAGGCTTTAGTAGATCCACCTCTGGTGTCGATTTCAAAATCCGATGTCGCCTTGTTCTCCAGTCATTACACTCACAACTTGGAGGGTTGCCCACCCTGCACGGTGAGGAGGATCCCCGCCAAAAGGACAGCAGTGAGGAAAAACCCAAGATGTTATATTTCTGGTAGACAGAGTAACTTTTGAAGTCACAAATTTATTACATCACAGTATATTGACATTCAAGTTCAGATGACCTAATTCTCTATGATACAGCCAGATTAACACCCTTCTTTTCATCAGTGGTTTACTTTAATAGTTTTCACTGTTGTTGCTGCAGTCTGTGAAAACAAGAGCACTGCTGTGGAAATCCAACCTTACTTAATGTTCTACACACACACGTGAAACAATGAGTCGAGTAAATGATGGCTTATGTGAAACAAAGACACGATTAGAAAACAGTATTCAGGTTTCTGCATAAAGCATTTGTTACATACTTGTGTGCACATGCATAACTTGCATTCTGATGTAGCTATAGAAAGTGACGCAAAAATGACTAAAGTCCAATATATGTGCTGTATTTAGGCCAGTGTTGCGTATATATGCAGTAGTAGTGTGTTAGCCCACCTCACACGAGTGCAGAATAAAGCCGGAGCAGCGTTTCCTGCCCTGTCGGCATGTACCAGGCGGGCCTACTGTACCAGCAGCCAACCGCCATCGAAAAAGAGCGAGGAGAAAAAAACTTGGAGTTTGTAATAAGGGCGAGGCTTATTTCGCGCAGTTCCTGCTCTGCTCTCTAATTCCCCACAGCGTTCAGTCGGAGAGCTGCAATTGTGTCGTCTGTAATGTGTCTGAGCTGCTTCTTTTCAGCGTTTGTTTTCGCTTCCACGTTGAAGTTTTCAGCGTCCAGAGCAAACACTGACACAGTCGCTCACACCGTTAGCTCACCCTGCACTCAGTCCGCTCCGCGCGCATAGACCTCGCCTGATTTGCACTGGCGCGGGTCATTTCAGGTTAAACCCTGGCGCTGTGTCCCGTTCACTTTAACCGACGGAGATCAACGCTGGTTCCAGTTGAGGCGGAATGCACACCCACTGGGACTCCGAGTGATATTTGGACACGGGCTTCGTCTTGCATATGCGGTATGTTTGTTTTAGAGGGTGGGGTTGGGGGTATTTTTGACAGCAGTCTTGCTATTAACAGCAGCCTCTCCAAAAACTAGCTGTGCGCCACTGTGGTAGCTAAATCGCGGTGCGTCGCGCTTCCTAAGCTAATGTTCATATTAATTTTTAACATAGCCGCAAATGTGTTTATGTCCTATGAAGGGACGGCGGATAACGAACTTCATTCACAATTCGTGCAATTCAAGTGCCGTGCTAATCGTGGGATTGTTGGTTCGTGGACAAACGTGACTTGGACCTCAGCAGAAGTGTCGGGTTCTGTGTAGCAGTTCGGTGCGCAGTTCTTTTTGAAACAGCAACGTTTCATAACACATATTTAAACATAACAGCGATCTGACCCTGCTCTCCGCGTCCACGGCGGTGTGTGTTGTCGGAGTGAGGCAGCAGGAATAAAAGAAGAATTTCGCTAAAAGTTAAAGTTTTTTTCCGTTCCCGGCGTGTTTTACCGTCGCCGAATTGCACACTTGCTTGTAATAATGCAGAAACTTTCATCCGCGTTTTTTCATAGTTGGCTAATGTCAACAGAAAGCGAGAGGCCGTGCAGTTGTCAGATATTCGGCTCGAGGTTCTGTCAGGAAAACAGAACAGCGCGTACCCCGGAATGGCTTTGATAAAGACTTGAGGGAGTTGCTTTCGGGCCCAAGTTATCGTTTCCCTCATAGCTCAGAGTATCCCACGAGCAATGAGCACGGCTCGGTTTACTTCTGTCACTTGACTTAAATACATGTATGTCACCTACATTTCCGCCTTAACCTTTGCTTTCGGTTTAACAACAGGAACTTTCACTCAAGTGTCCAGCTAACATCTGGCGTGTAAAACAAGCAGACCCTTCCACAGTGCATTAGCGACTTTAGTGTTTGGGATTACATAGAGTCGGCGGCGCTGGATGATTGGCTCTAGTGGACAGAGTCGATCCCAAGTGTTAAGCTATTTACAAACAAGCGTCACCTGTCCTATGTGCCTCGCCGTAGTGCGATATTCGTTTAACAAGCTGTAGTGATACTTTCACGCACTGTTGGGGGGGCTAACGCGTGCGAGGCTGAGCGAGACAGCTGATTGTGGGAATTTGTGTTCTTTTGTTTTTGTTTCGTTTTTGCCTTGATGCTGTGATGAGAGGCTTTATGTGTTGCACAGCACTTACTATATGACTGCAGCTGCTGTTCCAAGTGAACAGTAACATCATTAATCCAAGTGAAAACGTTGCCCTCTGTGCCCAAAACATCGAAAGATCATTTCAATTATAGAATTCAGAATCAACAGACATTTTCAAGCACCGTACGTTTTATTTCAAAAAGGGAGAAATTAAAGGAAGCAGTGGTTTTGAATGAATGGTATTTAAGGTCATTCTGTCTTTGCAACTTTTTGCAAGAGCGTGTGAGGACAGTATTCACTTGTGACATCAGTATATCTAATCTGCACTGTTTGCAGCAGAACCAGCTGCAGCAAATAGATGTAATGTGTTGGTTGGCTGTTGTTAAGCATTTGTGTGCGTTGAAACCTGTTTGAATGTATTTAAGGTGGAGCCTTGACAATCGTTAGTTTTGTCCCCTAATAAAGAAAAGCTGAGGCGCCGCAAAGTAGGTTTCTGACAAGTCCGTTAATAAAATTCTGAGAGATCAAAGGTATTGTGCAGATTTCATTTCTAAGAAGCTTCTATCAGCTGTTCCATTATTCACAAGGGGTCGTGGCAGCAGATAGCTCTGCATATTTGATTTGGCAGATCATTATACCCGATGCCCTTCCTGATGCGATGCCAGGGACCTTTTGCATGTTAGACAACTGTGTAAACCATTACACTATTTTGCTACTGTGCTCAGTGACTGTGTACATTCCTGTTTGTAGAGTCTACATGTTTCTGGGTCACACTGGTGTTTATCAACCAGGGTAAGAATCCAGATGAATTCAGAAGGTGCAATTTCAGAGTTCCTAGTCTGAATAGTCAGAGCAACACTACCAACAATCCGAGATGGTGGCAGTGAACATAAACAGTAATAAAACGGAAACTTTGAAACTGTCCTGCCACTTTTTCTATTTGTGACTCACTAAATAAGCACTGACCAGGCTCTATCATGAATGTACTTCAGCAGTACGAGTCTTGTGCTGTGATGCTTGACGGCTCTACCTTACTAAGAAGCTTTCTTTTGAATGCACAAACTCGGGACTGAAAACACTTCCAAGTTCCGACATCCAATTTCCGAGGTAACTGACGCAGTCTCTTGTTTGTCCATTATTAACAATGAGCAATAACATTACAGACCAGCCAACGATGCCCCTGTGATGAGTTCACACAGCAAGACTGCAGGAACTTATCTGTGTATGCAGTTAATGGGCATGCTAATGCAAACAAGGCACATTTGAACCACAAATACTATTTGAATTTAATGGGAGCGATTTGACATTTTTACTACCGAAGACCTCAAACTGCTCCCAGATGACTGCGCGTAGCTGTGGCAGACTGGCTAGCTTTACCTGACAGTTTGCACTCGACCTCCTTTACTAATTATCACGTAAAGAAGTTCCACACAGGGCTTATTGAAGCTGTAGTCGCCTCTGGTTTTATCCTTTTACTCTTTTAATGTTTGCACAGTGCCAATAAATCGAATCAGTGTCACACTATCTCACAGTATATTTGCTTGAAGTTGGTAGTGCATTCTTTTATTTGTGTTGTTTGCAAACAGCTTTGCTAGGTGCCACTTTCCATTGCCACCAGATCATCGTATCTCACCAGGCACCGGTAAGAATGAGAGGGAAATGGACGTTTTAGAGCAGCGGTCCCCAACCCCCGGCCCACGGCCCGGTACCGGTCTGTGAGTCGTTCGGTCCCGGGCCGTGAGAGTTGAGGCTCGGGTGTGAAATTGATGGTTTTCAGGGTTTTTATCGTTAACTCGGTTCCCTGGGTCTTTCCCGTGTTGTAGTTGTGCGTCTTATTTTGAAAGAAATGTTTACACGTTACCATAGCGACCAGAGAGCATTAAGGAGCAGAGAGGAGGACGTTACGCTCAACGTTGTTGGTGCACTTCAGGAGGACGCTGCTAACAAAGTTACACAATTACACACTGAATTCACGTTTATTGCTATATTTACTAAATACCAGTTTGTGTCGTATCATTTTATTTTGTTGTATTTATCCTCCACACCTTAAACGCCGGTCTGTGAAAATACTGTCTGACATGAAACCGTCTGTGGAGCAACGAAGGTTGGGGGCCGCTGCTGTAGACAAAAAAGGACTGTTTGGTTAATTGAAACCCATTCTCATCCTAGTGTGCAGCTAAAACGCACACTTCTCTTGTTTCCTCTGCTGTGGCTTATGCTAGATTTATTGAGTGTGGTGTGTGCGAAGTCTTTGGATACTTTCAGTATCTTAGCTAACTCTTTTATTTCTTTTGTCTGGAAGCCTTATTATAATTTGTGTGCACATTCTTTTAATAACCATGCTGTGGTAGTCGTAATCATCATTTTTGCTCACAGAATGAGAAGTTTGGTTTGCCTGAACAAAGTCGTCTGTGTTGGAGTGAAATTCAGAGTCCATGGAAATGCACTAATTGTAAATTTGTTTGACTGATTTGAAGTGTATAAAGTGTATAAATTCCAGTTGTCTTTCTAAGAAATATACCTGACAGCATATACCAAGAAATTCTATTTTCTTTAATGTAAAATCTCATTTTCATTGTAAAATAAATTATTAAATGTATCCCAGATTGCTCTAATTGAAAGCATCTTCTCTCTTTGAAACAGCAGATAATAAAGTTCTGGCAGGAGGGTTACATTGGTAACTGAAAATGAGTCGCTGTCCAGGCAACTTCAGCATTTTACTTCACCAAACAAGTACTTTGGGTTATTTTGTGTCTTTGCTCACAATGAGGAAATCCCATGCTAAGGACATGTTAGCGTGTAGGCGTGTGTGTGTGTGTGTGTGTGTGTGGCTACTTGCTTGTGCCACTGTGCATGTGTTGTGCATGGATGAAACACACTGGCTTATAATTAGTCATATGGGAGGCTGAGCGCCGATCACCGGTCCAGGAACGGTGAAATCAGCTGATTCTGGTCCCTGGCCGTCTGATTGGTGCATTTCCAGAGTCTCCAGTGTCCCTGCATTAAACACTTAGGATGACCTTCACCAGGTTGCCCTTAGTCAGATGATGTAATGGAGGCCTTCACTGTCTCATTCAAAGTTTCAGTTGGCCCTTCAAATGAGAAGCATGCAGACCTTGTATCTACGCTGAGATACCTGTGCTGTGCACCTGCTCCTCTCCTGTTCTGAGTGCTGTTGTCTTTGCAAGTCAGAGTGTGTGTTTACATGCACGTGCATGCAGACTTGGTTGAAGCTGTGCAGTCCTCATTATGGTTCTTATGTGATAACCTTGTTTCATTCCAACGGATATGAATTGATCAGTTTTTTAAAGAGAAAATGTGATTCTGTGGTAGCAGAAACGTTTGCATCAGCCTGTATTTATTGACAGCTGAAAAGATATTAAGTGCAATTGTTGGCCTGATATCTTAAGCCAAGAGTTTAAGATATTAGTTTGTTTTTGTGGTGAGCTAG